GGCCCTTTCCGGAGGTGTCCCGGGGCAGGGTGGGGAGAGGAATCCGAGCTCCCCGCAACCACCCACCCAGCGCCGAACTCAGCCAGTGCACTCTTCGCTGAGGGGAAAGGGTCCCGGGCTACCCTACGGTTTCCAGGGGAAAGTGGGGGAGGGTAAAGCACTGCTAAAGTACTACCCTCCCCCACTTGAAAAGAAGCAGTCTCCCCAGGCCCCAAGCGAGCCCCTGCATTTCGCTCGAGCTTGTACCTCCCCAAAAAGTGGCGCTTTAGAGACACCCCAAGGGTCTTTATCCCATCCCAAAAAGTGGGGGCTCATTAAGAGCCTCGACCTTTGCAACAGCCAGAAACACGGGAGGGGGGGCGCGGGTGCGCGCGCGCACACACACACACACACACACACACACACACACGGGTGGGCCCCGAAGCTCGAAGAGAGGGGCTTGGGAGGAGGAGGTTGGGGACACCGGGCAGTGGGACCTCCACGCCCCTTGCCCCTCGCCCAGGCCTCGCACCGTGGACACTGGCAAAGTGTTTCACGTTGCAAGAGCTTGTAGTCCCAGCGCTCCGGCCTCCCCTCCGGACGGTGACTGCTGCCCCCCTCCCCGCCTTAATTCAATTTAGCAAATATCCGCTCCCCTCCCCAGCACCTTCGGGGTCTGTCTCGTTGCATATTTTTTACAGAAGTTTGCCCCTCCCTTTGGTATAACGAGCTCAGAACACTCAGCAATTTAAACTCTAACCTCACCTCCTCCTGCCTCGAACGCTAGACCGTTTGTTGTTCTGGTGGCTGGGGGGGGGGCGCGGTTAGTTTTTAAGGGGCCGATCCTCTATCAAAAAGGCGGACCAAAAAATTACCCTGCAAAATATTGCTGTAAAACGTCAATGATGTCAAACGACTGTTGCCACACCATTATTAGAGCACATCAAGAAAAAATACACACTTACACAGTCTCCATAATTGTGAATCAGCAGAACATACTGTGTCTTATTAAGTATCAGTTGCCATTCATCACCCCCCAAAAGGACTTGGCGGGGCCTTCCCTTGAGCCTGCCCTTCGGTGCTCCCGGGCTCCCTGGGCTTGTGCAGGCTGAAGCTGAGGTATTACATGCAATCGACAAACGAAGAGTGCAATAGAAAACCCGAGCGGGCTCATGATGCAACCCGGCCGGGTTTACACGTGCTTCCCCTCCCCCACCGCCTGCTGGTGGGAGCGCGGCGTTTTTTCCGCCTGTAGGGTCACATTGTGGTTGATTGATTCTCCTTTCGCCTTGCTCAGTCATTCAGATTTGGAAAGTAAATAACAAGTTGACATCATTAAGGCTCTGGGCTTTAAGAAGGGACTCAGCCCTCGGCTACCACACACTCTCGAGTAGCCGCGCACACAGAACCGGCAGCCTGGCCTGCCAGCCCTGCTCGTCAGTAGCTGCTTGGAAATTCCAGCCTGAACTCGCTTAAAAAGCTTCTTTGTGTGTTTCTGTGACTTGGCAGATGTCAGACGTGGAAGGCTGGGGACAGCGGTGGAAATCCTCACTCTGGAAGCGGGGCTCGGGTGACAGCGGCACAGTGAGCTCGGAATCCATCTTGCCTGTGTGTTGCTGTCCCTCAAATGCTAAAGGTTGTGTTGCCTATAAAGAGGCAGCGCTTTTATCAAAGACTCTTGGGACCCCCAAGGGGAGGAGGCCCCCTGCATTTATCGCAAAATCACCGAAAACCCCATGTGAAATACTGGCTGAGTGGTCTGTGGGTGGTAAATGAGACGGTTTTATTTCATCTGTTTTAGCAATTTCTCAAGTGTTCAGTCCTGTGAGAGGGGAGAAAGCAGGGAAGTAGAGCAGGAAGGAGCCAACGCGTTCTGACAGGTAAAAGACAAATATGGTAGAGGGAGGCATGGCTCCACTGTGTGTGTGTGTGTGTGTGTGTGTGTGTGTGTGTGTGTGTGTGAGGGGGCAAGGTTCCAAGCTGGAGGAAGGTGAATACAAGAAGCTGCTTGTGACAAATGCTGTTAACACTCCAAAAAAGGGGAGTACTCAGAATCTAATTCAGAGGCAGTAAGAGTCTTGCTCGATGGTGGTTCTGGAAAAGACAGAACTGTAGTAACGATGAAAAGATTAGTGGTTGCTGGGTGTGTGTGGGGGGGACTGGTCAAGCACCAAGGGCTTTAAGGTGTTGCAGTTCCTCTGTGTGATAGGGAAGTGCTGGGTACCACAGAATGGCTGACAGTAGTAGCATACCCCTGTAATTCCGGCCCTGTGGAGCTGAGCCAGGAGGATTACTTAATTCCTTAAGCTCACCAGTTCAAGACCAGCCTGGGCAACATAATAAAACCCTTCTCAAAAACCAAAAGAAGCCCAGCATGATGGCACAGGTTTGCAAGCAAAGCATTCTGGGAGGCTAAGGCAGGAGGGTCACAAGTTCAAAGCCAGCTTGAGCCACTTAAGAGACCCTGTCTCAGCAAACAAACAAAGCAAAACAAAAACACAGGCTGGAGCTGGAGCTCAATGTGAAGGCCCTGGCTTCAATCCCAAGTTCTACAAAATTATAATAATAATAATTATTATTATATACAACACATAGATTGAATCCTAATATAAACAATAGACTTCAGTTACTAACAACTGGTTCATTGATTGTAATGCTGCACCATACTAATTTAATATGTTAATAATACCAGAAGCTGGGGGTGGGTGGGGGAAGCCTGTAGGATACCCTCAGTTGCTCTGTAAATCTAAAACTATTTTTTAAAATAGCCAGGTTTGCTGTTATACACCTGTAATTCCAACTACTACCAAGAAAGAAGCTAAAACTTCTTGAAGCGTCTTCTAATGAACACTTGAGCCCAGGAGTTCAAAGCCAGGCCAGGCAACAGAGAGAGACCTGTCAAAAAGATTTTTAAAATTCTTTAAATGTAGCATATTAATTTTTTTAAAAAAAGGTTAGGAGGGATAGGTGTTAAGCTTCTCATGAGACATAATGCCTTATTTTTGTTGGACTCGATATTTAATTTCCTGCAGACCCATCTGACTCCCAGAGACTCTGGACACATGAGCTATATTTGCTTTTACAACTGACCTGTTCAGAAGTCCCTGGTCTTCCAAGAAGTGTCCCAAACTTCCAGGATCCACATCCCCATTGTTAAATTAGCATCCTAATGCTTACCACCTTACTGCTCTGCTTTACCAACTGATGGATGACACCATCTTTAAGAAAGAAGGCATAGAAATAAGACAAGATCTTTCCCCAGGTATTATGCAATATAATTGTTATGCCCATCAATAGAAAGACAAAATAATACAAACAGATCCACATGGGTGAAGCAAAAAGTCAAAGCCAAGCCTGCAATTATTTTAAACTGCAATGATAATCAGTATGTACAAGGTTAGGGCAGTACCAAAAATGCAGTCATCAAGATAAATAATATAATGCTTTCTTATGTGGGTGTGTGGTACTAGGGATTGAACCCAGGGCCTTGTGCATGCTAGGCAGGCACTGTACCGCTGAGCTATACTCCGATCCTAGGTAATGCCATATTCTAAAAAGCAAAATGAATGTAAAAACTCTATTGTGAATGAAAAATCACAATGCTAGGTAAAAGACAGGATCTGGCCCTGCCTTTCTGACCTGGCCTAGCCCCACCAGGTGCAACATGTGTCCTGGGTCACAGGAATGCTTAGCTCTCACACAAGCACCCTCCTCTGCCCCAGGGAGCATTCTTTTCAGGACACAGATTGGCACACTGGTCCAGGGCTAAATCCAGTCCAGAGCCACCAGAACCAATGCCTGGGGGCATCGTGGGACAACTCTTGTTTCCTGTCTGTCCTGATACAGGAATCTGCTGGCCTTGTTCTAGGAGACTAAATGATTCTTGAGTCCACATAGCACTTGTTAAGTAACTCCTAAAACAGTGTGCGTGTGTGTGTGTGTGTGTGTGTGTGTGTGTGTGTGTGTGTTTTAATTTCAGGATAAATTAAAGAAAGGGCTACTTTAAAATGTGTTTAATAAAGAGGATCAGGGAAGTGATAGTGTGAATGAGCTTCCTTAGGAACCCACCGGTCATGATGCGGGACTCTGGAAAATTGCAGAAGTGCTTGATAAAGAGAGGGTTGGGGGACCCTGGAAATATGTGGCTAAATGAAATGGATCTAAGAGGAACAGAGGCTGCCGGCCAAGGAGTAACAGAGGAACTAGGAAAAATACTGGGTCAAAAGGACTTCATATTTTTCTGTCTAGTACAGTTTTATAATTCCCTGAATATCTCCCAGCTCTGTCTTGCTGATGGCCATAGTCACATACTCAGGTCTTAGGGAGAAATGATCACATTCCCACTCATCTGACAAAGGAGCCAGAAGGTGGCTGGATGGCAAAGCCTCCCTGAAGGGACCCTGGAACTCAGAGAGGTCAAGGTGGGATTCCTTCCCTATTGCTGTTGCAGCGTATTCTGTGCCTGTCAGTAACATCTGTCTGACAGTTCTGTGGGTCAGATGGCACAAATGTGTCTCATGAGGTATGATGGATTTTTTTTTTTCAGTACTGACAGTTGACACTGAGCTACATCACCAGCCCATTTTAAATTTTTTGTTTTGAGACAGGATCACACTAAGTGGCTAAATTGCCCAAGCTGAGCTGGAACTTGGGATCATCCTGCTTCAGCCTCCCAGAGTGCTGGGCCCTCGCATCATGTTTCAGTTGACTGAGCCAAGGGATGCCAGGCAGCTCATTAGTCATTGCCCTCAGTGACCATCACTTTGTCCAATGAGGTCCTGCGTGGGACAGAGAGGTGAGGAAGGCAGGGCTCTTTCTTCTCCCTCTGACTGGCTCCTGGGGCTGGAACAGCATCATCCTCTGCCCTCGGCATTCCTGTCCCTGGGACTTCAGACCTGGACTGGAAACTACACCATCAGCTCTTTCAACCGCCGCACCATGGATAGATCACCGTCTATCTCCTAGCCTCTCTCTTCCCGCATCTCCTGTTGGATCTGCTTCTCTGGAGAACGGGCTAATATCCTGGTTTTGCAGGGCTGCATTCCCTACTGAGGCTCTGAGGGACCATCTACCTTTCCCAGTGCCCCACGGACACTGCCTCCTCCCTCCATCTTCAGAGGCAGTGACAGGAAGTCAAGTCCTCCCCAAGCACATGCTGACTTCCTCCTCTGCTGCCTCTCTCTCTTCTCATGTGAAAGTCTGGTGCAACTGAGGCTGTATGAGCTTCACGCTGGGGACTGAGTGTAGGTTGGCCTCCATCCAGGATCCCCCGAGACATACAGTAGTGTGATAAAGCGGGCAGAGACTGTATAATCCACGATAACCCCTCCATTGACAGCCTCTTCATTTCAGGCACACATGCCGAGTCCCTTTTACCGTAGAGTGACACCTTCACAGTTCTAGGGGAGGAAGGCGTGGACCCTCCGTGGAGGGTAGGGGGCATCCTCAGCCTTCCACAGGGGCCGTATGGAACTATCTCTGTCAAAGGGGGAGAAGACAGACATACAAATGCAGCTCTTGGTAGTGCCAAAGCCCACGGTGCCTCCCGTCACTTGCCATGTCGCTTTAGGAGCAATGCATAAGATCGAGACTACTTTTCACCAACACTGAAAACATGCAAACGCACAGCAAAAAGCAAAAACTGCCGTCCAGCTTTACTCAAAATGCACACGGCAGGCAAGAGTTCCTGTTCTTCGCAATAGCACACGTTCTTCATGTTGGAGATGATAATTTTCCAAAGGCCACCCCCTCCTGCCTCCCCAAGTTGCCTTAGGAGAAGTTCCATGCTTTCCCTCCTTGTTTCTCCCCACAGTTCGCATTTACCACTCTCTGGGGAGTACAGCCCTGTGAGAGAGGCCAGCTTCATACACTGTCCCTGCACCAAAGCTCCCACCAAGTCAAGCCCGACATCGCATTGACAAAGAAAATCCTTCCAGGGGAGTGGAACACCGAGTTTTTCTCCAGTGCCTTTGCCAGATTTATTTTATGCTGTTGCTCTTAAGACATCAACAGCCACCTGATAGGATCGGACGTGTACAACCACCCAACGGCCCCCCACTACTCACGCCCTGAAAAGCGAGCCTTGGTGAGTGCAAGAGAGGGCAGAGAATTCTGCACCAAGCTTCCAAACCTGCAAACAACCTGGGTGCCCTGGCATGGGGGAGGGGATACATACGTGAGCACCAGTCCTAAAGGGCG